CGGCACACTAGTGTGCCGCGGAACAGTGGTTGAAAAACACTGTCTTAAACTGACAATCACTTTGAACTGTCAAAATAAGAGCATCACATATCCTACAAAATAAAATCCTTCACATTTTTCACAGCACGTAACTGCTGTTTTGAGCATTATATAACTGGTTCAACCCAACCACTGTTACACATGGGATTAGTGTGACCCTTTAAAATGACGTTTACTTGAAAATTTCAAAATAAACGCCTCAATTATCCTCCCAGGTTAGTGCACTGTACTGCACTAATATTATCTCTTTCCATAAAATAAGTATTTTAGCGATTTCTTTCTCCCAGGTTAGTGCAGATAACCTTCAGATAAATTCCTGCTTCAAAATACTTTTTTTCACAAATATTACATTGACACAAACGTATTATCTTGCTTTTACTAAGAAGCAGTAACTAATCAGTATATTTGACACCACCGGGAAATGTTTGGATTTTCTGAAACAATTTATCTCATTTGCCAGTTTACAAATGTAACAATAGAAGAGTTATCTTCTAAAAAGTTTTTTTGTTATGTTATTAACCATGGCATTTTGGCCTTAGCACAAAGAAAGGCAACGACAAACTAAAAGTCAACAATGATTTTTTTATTTTATCCGGTTTATACAGTTTTGGTTCTGTAGCAACCTACTGGATAAATCTAATGAAGTGCAATTGTACTCAAGCCAGTTACAGTTGAGAGCAATGACAGGCACAAGTTTTGTGCAAATTTAACAGCATCGGAACGGCTCCTACACATACATCGCAAAGAATACATGCCAGAGGGAAAACAACGCTAAATCAGTTTACATTGACAACAGTTAGGAAGACGTTCCATGACAAAAAAAAAAAAATTAAAAATCAATCCAAGGTAAGACTTTGATTAAACATTTCACCCACAACTGACAAATGGGAAACAATAACTTAGTAAACATTCAGTCGTTATGCACAGCGAGAAATGTGTTGTGTTATCCGCCCCCACAAACTAAAAACCCTTCAATCTGTCCAGTCCAAAAGTCCTCAATTCAAAAACTGTGCATTGCTTTTTATTTTTTATTAATTATACTGATATTACAAAACTAAAAAACTAAACGTTGTAATGGAAAGGGTAACAGATTAACCTATCTGGCAATTTTTTTTTTTTTTTTTTAAGGAGTTGACATTTAAAATTATTTGTCCGGCAAGACACTGGCCACTAAAACTAAAACTTAAGGTGCTGCAAACTTTAAAGATATCACAAGCCACATGAGACAACACAACTATCTGAAACGCATGGGTGGTGGTAGCCTCGTTAAAATTTAACCTCATTTGTTCATCTAATCCGACTGTATCGCAAAAACTGGGACAAGACGCATGTTAGCGACGTCCAACATCCACGTACTGGAGAGAAGAAACAAAACAAAAAAAGTTTATTTGCTTAGAACAGATTTACGCAGAGTTTCTGAAACAGTAAAAACCTCCCAAACATGCAGTAACACAGGATCATGAATAAGATCTAGGTAGGTGAATTCTGGTAACCAGTCTATAGTCTTAGAACGCGGACGTTACAGGCTAAGGTCTGCTTGTGCGAGCCCTAAATGCTCCATCCTTCACAGTGAAAGTTTACGATTTGACAAACTAAACCTCTCTGGAAATGCCTGCACTCACTCCAGTGCCTCCTCCAGAGTGTAAAGTGTGTTCAGCAATGTGACATCTTTTCTGAACGCGGCTGCTAAAGTTTCACCTTCGGCTGGAAATTGATCGAATATTGAAATTAAATCAACCGCCCCCCGCCCCCAAAAAAACAAATCTCGTTTCCCGTGCGGTAGGGATGACATAATTTCCTACATTTTACCTTTTCTTTTTTTCTCTTTACCTTGTTCAAATTTTTTCCATGATCACACTTACATTTTTTTTTTTTTTAAGATGAATCGTCGTGCACAAGGTTTAACGTCACGATTTAAAACACGAGTTTCTCATAATGGGGGTCTGGCGATGCCACGTGATGAAGGAAAGCAGATGAACCACTACATTCTACAGCTTTCCTGAATAGTACAATCAAGGGCCACATTGAAATCTCTCACAACCTAGAATCAACAAAAACTACTTCAAGTTGCATTCGAATGGCAACTATCGAAAAGTAAACTTACTGTAACATACATATTATATAAGTGTTATAGTCCATGCAGTTTGCGCACGGCGGATTTTGCATCGTTATGGTATGTCATAAGTGTTATGGGAGACATCAGCCACCAGTGCATTTCCAATGTAGGTTCAGGGAGAAAAACTCCTCGACACACATCAGAAACTCAGCCGGACTTGAAGAGCAAGATGGCCACCTGGCCCAGGTAAAAGTAAATAAAATGCTTCGTCTCATGGGTGACGTAGCTGCCAAAGTTCCTCCCAACGATGCAGTGCCAGGTGGGGTTGTACTTCTTGTCAAACTCCTGAAAAGAGACGAGGGGAGAGGATTAACGGCCGGGTTGTGGATGTTCACAGCCAAGAATGTGGCGACCACAGAAGATACAGGGGAAAGGCAGTTTTTAGCATATTTTAATTTATACACATACACACACACACACACACACACACACACACACACACACACAAGATTGCATTAAATTGGAGGAAGGAACCTTCTTTTTTTGACAATATTTTGCATTAAAGCTGAAGCATGTAACTTTTGTTAAATAAATTGCTATATATATATATATATATATATATATATATATATATATATA